GCCTTTTCCTTTTTCACGTTTTTGCAACGGTCCCGTGGCGCAAGGTGCGCACCCTCTTCCGGTCCTTGGACAATAATCGTTTCGGAGGGTACCCAGGTTCGATTCCTGGATGGGGTGTAACTGACTCGAAACCTTTTTGCTGTTGGCTTGTTATCGGTCCGGTGGCACAGTTGGTAGTGCGCCGTTGCTGGGTATTCCCTAGTAGACGGAGGTCCTTGTTCGAATCAAGGTCGGATCATGGGCGGTCTTTTCGTGTGATTTTTATTTCCCTCGCCGTTGCCTTAATGCTTTTCGCGGTCCGGTCTCTTTTTACTCGTTCCGGAGGTGCTTGTTCGATTCCAGGTCAGATCGTGCGTTCGACGGCAGGTGTTGATGTTTTTGGTTGTTCCGGCGATCCGGTGAGTTTCTTTACTGTCGTCCCGGAGCGGGTCCCATGGTGTCCATTTTACTGTTAAGGCCAGGTTCCGGAGTCGACACAAAGTGGAGCCTCACACCGCCCTCGCTGATTCTTTCTGTTTTACTCCCTGCAGTTTTTTTTTTCTTGGCCTCAAAAATCCATGTAAGCCATTAGGTCCCTCTGTTACTGGACAGGGGCTTGCATATATGAAATTGGGGTCTGCTCTCAAAGGCTTGGATCCATCTGCTCCATATTTGTTTTCGTCATCTTGCAATCAATTTGGATACGGATCGGGACATATGTCAGGCTTGTACCAGAGGTGAGCCTCTTGAAACCACTGGGAACTGTCATGCAAACCACCAGGGAGGGGCCCGAAACTACCTCCAGCTGCCTCCGAAACTACAACTACAGTAGATCACATGTACAACTTTGCAACCTGAACTTCGAACTAAAAGTTCAGGTTGATCCTCGAAGTACTGGAGGACAAAAACTAAAAGTTCAAGTGAGATAAAAAGTTCTGAATGGACATTGAGCTAGCATGAAATCTACAGTCTGGCACCTCGTTTGCCATGAAACTTGATTATTTGATGAAAAATGAGTTTATATGAAACGTTCAAGGTCGAGGTTCGTTTGGTTTAACACTGCATAGAAGCTCACAGGAAAGCAATCGTACGGAAATTCCGTCCCATTGATTGCTGTGACCTTATTTTTTATCAAATAATCGAGCTTTGGTTTCGAAGTTCAACTCCGCGTTGGAATTTTTTGGCAAGTGGAAGTTCAAGTTCAACTTGAAGTTTCGGCAATGACCAGCTTTCTGTGAGCCGGATCACTTGGCAGCGGGCCTTACACTCCCAATACAGCAGTTTTTGTCTGTCTTGCTATGCACAACGGTGACAAATTTGACCCCGATATGGTCTTACCTTGAATAAACCCGGCCGGATTTGACCATCAGATGTGCTTCATTCGGCCGACCCGGGCATACTTGTCTGAACATCCCTGTCTACTGGGTCCAGTAGGCTGGCCAGTTCAGTGTCATGATATTGAGGACATGCCTGTGGTGACAGAGCCTCAGTTGCAAGGCAATTCAATTTCTGTTGAACTTCAAGTTCAACCTTGCAAAAAACTTCACGTGGACTATTCCGGTTGCCCGTAGTACCGATCCTGACCTCGATAGCCACGAAACCGGATTATTTGATGAGAAATGAGTTTATAGATTGCTTACCATGGACGAACTTACTTGACTATCGTGGAGGATCTTGAATCGCATATGGCCTTGCAATTCTTGAATTGCATATGACCTTGCAATTCCAATCTCCGCTAAACAGTCATCCGTAACTCTGAGCTACGAGCAGGGCTCGAGGCACGCGGACGGCACCTTCCAAGCTCTAAAATTATTGTTGTTTTCTTTCCTGATTCTATTGACAGAGTCTCGCATGCGGAATGCCAGAGGTCCGTCTGGTTCCGAATCGGGGAGAGGCCCTTTTCAACACAAATTTAAAATAGATTATTCGGATTCTTGCAGAGCCGGGGGAGCAAAAAAATGGTAGCATCTCCCATTGTTCCTGGTACCGTTTACGGAACCAGGTCTCAAAAGCGAGAAGCAAAAAAACCGATCACACAGATCAATAACATAACAAACTAAAATAATTAAATAACGAAAATGGCAATCAATCCTCGTATGGAAATGCAGTGCACAGATAAGCCAAATAAAATATAAATCCTAGGAACAGCGCGCTCACGCACCCTATGCGCTTTCACCGGTATGTGGGAATGAAAACTCACCAAGGCCAATATTTGAATCAAATAATCCCGCGAGCGGCGACACTGAGATCTGTTGAACAGGGCGCTTACTGTGCGTACTTGTATTGAAGCAACGGTCACGGTCACGCCCGGGACCGTTGAGAACGATGGATCCGTAGGGAGCAAGGTCTATAGACCGGTCTATTAGACCTCCGGAAAGACCTCCGGAAAGACCTGGTCTATATTACCTAACAAAGTACCTGGCAGACCTGGCTGTGGACTTGGAAGTAGACTTTGATGCTCTTTGATGACAACCAACATCGTGCCGCTTTTGGGTGGTGGCATTTCTTCCTCATGTTTCTGCGTAGACGGCGGGATGCGGGCGATTTCTACACCATCTGTTAGCCCGTCAAATTACGCATCATGCGCGCGATATCTCGAACACCGTCCGTTGCTGCCGTGAACTTGAACTGGTGGCCGGAGCCGGCATCGCGGTGGCACCGAAAGGGCAGGAGCTACAATAGATTGCGAGAATGTGTACAGCACTGAGCATGAAAGGAATGGAGAACCGAGATAAAGTTCCGCCGTATGTTCCTAGAATGGCGGGCCCGTCGTGGCCTGCGGGCGCGCGCCGACTACGCAATCATCAACCCACCATCAACCCCATCAAATTCCGTCTGCCGAAGTCTACGGTCACACAATGTGACATCCAGTCCAAAGTCTACGGTGCAGTCCATCACTGGTATCGGTCTACCATACGCGGTCTACGGTCTACGGTCCACGGTCTACTAGACCTGTCGCCCCACGGATCCGACTTTCTGGGACCGTTGCGTTGCCTTTTTTCTGCTCGGTCACGGTCGCGCGGAGGTGCGTTGCATTTCAACGAGCGTGACATGGAAATTTTCGCGCCCCAAAGCTGCATTTTGAGGCTCTGCGTTACATTTTTCAGGCAACGGTCACGGTCACCGCTGGGGCCGTTGCCTCAGACAAAGGCAACGGAAATGTCACGGTGGCCTCGGCTGTTGCTTCAATACAAGTACGCACAGTATAAAGTTCAACTTCGAATGTCAGCATGGCCAGTCAGCGATCAAGCAGAACTTCAGCTCACCTCTCACTCCAGCTGCCAGTATTTCCCACCACCACGGAAGTTGAAAGAAAGCAGGGGGTAATGCATTGTTACAACCAGGGCTGCTTCTCTGTAAAAGTCAAACCGAATTGTAACGCATCCTGGCATCTCAAACTATCCTGTATATGTATGTATTGCCGGAAATAATTTGACCACCTCAAGAGGTCGTGCCTGGGGAGCTGCGTGCGGGAGCGGGAGAGCTCACTGGGTATCGCAGCCACAATAAATACAAGAATGGAGGGTCACCGAAAAAAATGTCAATGTAGAAATGATGCATCGATTCAGCAATTTTTTTCGGCCCTTTAAAGCCAAACACAGTCACTGCGTTCCGACCCCCAGTAGACACAGTGTAGACCGAGGCGTGTAGACTGAGGTAGACAGGGGGTAGACTGACCCCTATGTCTACCTCGGTTTCTGTGGTCTGTCTACCTCGGTCTACAGGGGTAGACGGACGTAGACATACCCTCGAACCACATAGACCGAGGGATAGGCTGCAATTTTCAACATGCTCAATGAAAATTCCTGTATTTCTCAATCTTGGGCTACGGTCGGTCGACACATGTAGACAGAGGTAGACAAAGGTACACAGAGGGGGGTAGCCGAACGTAGCCAAATGTAGCCGAACGTAGCCGAACATAGACCAACATTCGTCTACGACCCCCTGTAGACAGATGTAGCCAGACGTAGACCGAGGTAGCCGAACGTAGCCACAATGTAGACAAAGTCGGTCTACTGGGGGTCGGAACGCAGTGAGTCTCTGATTCAAGCCATCTAGCATCCGCCGGCTCAATGTGAGCTGGTCGACGCTTGCGCGCACGCGCAAGCGGCGACCGGGCAAATCGTTGAGCAGGTTCCAGTAAACCGATAAATTAATATATGTGACAAGTATGATCACCAATGCACAAACAGTGGACCAAACGAACTCAAGGCCAGGTCTGAGAAGAGGTACCAGGGGTGCCCGGAGGGCCTTAGTATTTAACGATGCATCATGCCATCATGCATGGACAAAAAAAAAACCCCTAGGCAAATGCCGCCAAGAGGAATCGAACCTCCAGTTTCTCACATTGATCCAACTTCTGGGGACACGAGTAGAGAAGGTTATTCATTCATGGTTGCCGACTTTTTCTCCTCGGATTTCTATACTTTGTGGCCGTTGTTCGTCTGCTGTGTATGCCTCCGCTAGGCTGGAAGAGAATGAGAGGAGCCCCTCTGACGATGCTTGATAAGTAGCGGGGGAAAAATTAGCCTCAAGCGCGCACATAGCTGGGAGGAATATCGAACCTCCGATTTCTCGCGTCTGAGCACGAATAGAGGACGACCATCATGGTCCACAGCGGCTTCCATATTCAGTGGCCGCTGTTTCACGGTACTCGGTCAGTAATTGGGGGAAAAATTAACCGTCAAGCGCGAATACCGCCGGGAGGAATCGAACTTCCGATTCCTCGCATTAATTTTACGCGTCTCGAGCCACGAATAAGTAGAGAACGACCACCATGGTCTACAGCGGCTTCCACATTCCGTGGGCGTTGTTTGTCTGCTGTGTATGTTTCCGGAAGAAAATAAGGGGTTGAGTCAAATATGAAGCTGACGGAAGAATTGAACCTGATAAAGATTCAAGCGATGGCAGCATGTCAATTTGGAGGGCCTGATGGAAGCGATGAGCGCTGAGCCAACAAGTACATGCAATTATCAGTAACTACCACGAGGATTCGACCTGGCAATAGAATGAAAAACTTATACGGCCGGGAGGAATCGAACCTCCGCTTTCCGCCTGATCGCTATATCTTGACCACGAGTAGAGGACGACCACCATGGTCTACGGCCGCTTGTGCTATACCAGTTCCCTCGGGATTGTTCATTGCAAGTCGATAACCGAAAAAATGAGTGGCTCAGGTCAAAGCCACAAGACGAATTAAACCCGCTCGTTTAACCACTCGTTTAATGTTGAGGATATCAAAAACGAAGGCAGATGCATTATACCCTTCAAGGCGAAAAGATAATTTGCAGCTTAATGAATGGAACCAGTCATATTCTCCTTGAGAGGAAACGTACATTTATTGTGATTGTACAGGTTTATAATAGAAGATATGCTGTCGAATTCGGTGAGCATCGCCGTCCAAGCTGGGATATGGGTAGCCTCTCACAATGATCACCCATTAACTGCCTCGGAAACCATATCTTGCCCCGCCAGGACCCTTTCCGGATCCCTCCTGATCCGCCCGCTGATGACCTTCGCCTCGCCCTTGATGCGCTTCACAAGCCGCTTGGTCTTCCCGTCCTCCTCCAGCGCCTCATCCGACGAATAGTTATCCTCCTCCTCCGCGTTAAAGGCCTCGGCGCCATTGTACGCCGGCCCCCGCGCGCCGTCGTGACGCTCGTCGTCCATTTTTGCCTGTTCTTCCTCGCACAACGGCACCCCGCGGTGATGCGCCTCTCCCCCAGCAAGCGGATGCGTGCGCGGCGCGAGCTTTATCTTCGGCGGCGCAGGTTTTGTAGCTTGCCCATGGTCTTGATTCAAAAAAGGGCTTGCATCCGCATCGGCGTCGGCGCGCCCCGACTCGGAGTCTTTCTTGCGGGGACTGTGCGCGTCCGCACCAGCGGCGGCGGACGTCTCCATCGTATCGTCTTCCATCTCCGTAGAGGGCGCAGGCGAGCCTGGAGACGACGGCGCTTCAGAGCCTGCCTGCGCCGTAGTGCTCAAATCGGTGGTCGTGCTCCTGGTCTCGTCGTCATCGTCCGCGCTGTTTACGCGGCGCATCGCCGGGTCCGTCGGTTTGGCTGCAAGAAGTTGAATGGCGAAAAAAAAAATAGAGGCACGATTGACTCACCGAAATATTTGGCCATTCCATGAGCCGCCTCCGACTCGGCCGCCCTGTCGTTTTTCGGGCTACTACTGCCTTCCGATTGAGTAGGGTGGGGCTCTATGCCTAGACGTGGTGCGTCTCCATCGGATGGATGCAGGTCAGGATGGGAATCGCTGGGTTTGGGGATGTTGGCACGGTTGGCCATGGTGGTAGGAAGAAAGCTGAAGAAAGCGGTGGAAATTGGGGCATGACGTCACGAGGATAAAGACAGGTGGCGGTGCGATAAGATTATGCTTGGCCTTTACCCCGCACACGTCATTTCAAAGTTCGCAAAGTGGACGAGCTCAATGTTCAACCTCGAAGATGACTTTTCGCTGCAACACGACTATGAACGCACATGGAGCAGGGCTACAGCTTTCCCTGATTGTTTTGGGACTCTGGATTTGCTCTGGAAGACTGGACTCAGTGCGGCGACCTCTGCTGCGTTAATCACCTCAGGGTGCTCTCTCGCCAAGCACTCGGACAAACCCTGACTCAGAACGGGTAGACACAGGCTGGTCACTCAGCCTCAAGTAATCCATAAAGTCTGACTCACCCGATGCGTGCTGCGCTTAGTCGTCTTAAGCTTCCACCGGCATATGGATCCACCTTCTTCCCAAGCCTCCATGGAACCAGCTACTGCTAGACAAGTCTCCCTGGCTCGTCCGCGCCGCTCGCTACAGAGCCGACGGACGCGGGGTAATCCTTCCACCCCACGGAATGCACTCGACGTTTTGTCAGCCCCGGTCTTCTTCCAGGCTTATAATTATCAGACGTCGTCCGGCGACCAACGCGCTGCTATATCCGTCACCATCTAATCTCTCGTGCAGTGCGCGGATGCCGGCAAGCGGTAACACGATGAGCGCGGCGAAGATCCTCTCGCAGTGCTTCTCGCTCTTGTGTTGGTGTCAGTGCCCCGCAGCGCCAGTTGGTTGCCGGCGCCAATCTGAGCTGGTTCGCTCCGACGACAGCGCTACGATAACCATGGACATCTTATGGCCCATGCATAGTCTGGACGGCGTATGTTCGAATTTTACCACGGCGGCCCATTCTCGCCCGTACCCGGGCCTTACACCTCCTTACCCCCGCCGCCCACGGTATCAACCACATTCACTGAAGGCTCGCATATCAGAGGAACATGGCAGTTGATGCCCCACCGCACGCACCGATAGGCCTCACCCCTTCTTCGAAAATTCACCATACGATGCCTCGGCAGGCACGCCGTACCTTCCCACCGCTCAACGCTGCTCTGCTGTTGATCGAGGAAATTCCCACCGGTCGAGTCTGATCGAATGTTCAGTGAACAGCGGCTCATCAATAAACGAACAATTGTATTCCACCGCACATGTACATACAGCTTTTTTGCTGAGAGGCTCAGAATTTCTCACAATATTAATTTGATTCCAGCTCCCAGGCTTTTGTTCTCCATTCTCACCATTAGTAAAAATATCATTGAAGGACAATCCCGCGTTGAAAGCGTTCCCGTGCTGGATGGCTCGAAACCAACTTTTGAACAGAGAGTTTTCCAAAGGATGTCGGTATGCTTCTAGAGAAAATGCCTTGAGAATCTGAATGAATGCCCATGGATCACACTGGGTCGCGCATATTTGTACCTCCTCTGGCAGATTGTGTTGAACAAATCGTCTAAAGGTACTGGCTGTGGGTTCATTCCCGAATCACCGACTCTTGACCGACTCCCTTCTTTTGTCTCTCACATACACCCACGACACTTCCGGTCTACACATTCCACACTTGAACCGTGTTGATTATTCATTCTAGCTCAATAAGTTAATTATGGGTGTCTGGAAGTACGACGAGGAAGATAAACCTGCTATCCCCCATCAGAAATTGCCCACCGCGGCGAAGTTCTGTCGACTATCACTGGCCCGGGAAGAAGCTCCAAAGGTATCCAGACCAGCCGTTCGCTGCCTTTGGGGATCCAGCCTGACTCTGTAACTCGTCAGGCACCCTCCCGTCGTCCTGACCCTCGGAATCGGCAGTTGCCCCATTTCTCCCAGGTTCTTGCGGATGCTCATTCCCGTCGTGCTCGTTAGACCTCGACGCCGAGTCCCCGCTAGCAGGACGCGCCGGCGGCCCCGCTGCTCCGCGATCTTGTGGATGGCTCTCCCTCCCAGACCCGTTAGACCTCGTCGCTGGGTCCTGATGCCCCGTTGTCCGACGCTCTTCATCCCCAGATAGTTCGTCCTCGAAGGCAACATGTTTTGTCTTAGGCCCGGCCCGGGGCACCCTTGCGTCAGCCCCTCCCAGAAGCGGGTCAGGCATCGACGCTGGCGTTCTGTTGACACGGCGATCCCATCTTGCGAACTTGCCGCCAACCACCGTCCTGACGAACTTCCTCTCAGGATGATTCTGACGTGCGCCGCTGGTGACCGTCTGGGCGAGCAATCCCCCAGGATGTTTCAACTGGGCGGCGTCAGGTGTCCTCTTCATCGTCCTGGCACCCAGTCCAAGAGGATACTTAACCTTCGGGTTTATCTGCAAGCCACGTGAAGCTATTAAAGCTGGATACGAGCCTCGACATACCGGACGTCGATTCGCATCCAACTGCACCTCATCGTGGGTCGATGTTGCATCGGCATTTGGGAGATCATGTACCTACACAAGGTCAAGTCGCTGCTGCAACAGAACATAAGAGCTTCGACATACCGGATGGTCATTCCCGTCCATCTGCGTCGCACCGTCCAAACTCAAAGAACTCTGAAGATGGATGGAACTTCTCGGTGTCTGCCCGTGTCCCAGCCTCGCCCCATCGGCATTCGAGAGACTGTGTCCCTACACAAAATCAAGTCACTGCTGCAACAGACCGTAAGAGCTTCGACATACCGGATGGTCATTCCCGTCCATCTGTGTCGCCCCGTGCAGGCTCAAAGAGCTCTCGGGATACGTGGAACGTCTCGGTGGCTGCGCGTGTTCCAGCCTCGCACCATCGGCATTCGAGAGACTATGTCCCTACACACAAGGTCAAGCCACTGTTGCAACAGAACATAAGAGCTTCGACATACCGGATGGTCATTCCCGTCCACCTGTGCCGTACCGCGAAGGCTCAAAGAGCTTTCAGGATACGTGAAACGTCTCGGTGGCTGTCCATACTCCTCCAACCTCGCGCCGTCGGCATTTGAGATATGATGTCCCTACACGAGGTCAAGTTGTTGTAGCAAGAGAAAAACCATGACAGACAGGTTGCTTGTTTCCGTCCATCTGTGTCGCACCCTGCCGGCTCTCGGGATACGTGGACTGTCTCGGTGTCTGCCCATGCTCCCCGGACTTCGCGCCATTGGCATTCGAGAGATTGGGGCCCTACATAAGGTCAAGTCACGGCAGCAAGAGAAGAACTTCGGCATACCGCATGCCCACCCAAGTATGCCAGGTCGCCCTCCTCTCCCGGGGTCACTGCTTCCGTTTCTTCGTCCTTCTCGCCGTCGTCCTCCGGCACATCCGTTGGTTTATCCGTGGTGCTGTACTCCTTACACATCTGTGTCATCGAGTTCCACCAACCCATCATGACCTTTCTGTCTTGCGCAGAAAGCTGCGCGTGGTCGGTGTTTAGAATGGTCTTTGTTGTCCCGCTATTCTCCGTGCGCCCCGCGATTGAAAACGCGTGCACTGTCGCCGTTTTGCTGCTCGGCGCACTGAGCTTGCACTTCGGTACGTACAGACTGAAAACCGGTTTGTCCCCCTCCGGGCTTGTCGGGTCGGAGCTCTTGTACTGGTGCAGGAACTTCGCGCGCGTGAGCACGAAGTACCACTCCTCACTGTCCTTGATAACCCTTATGCGATTGAGCGGCCCGGAGCACACCGCCCGGATACTTCGGTGAGACTGGGTGAACTTGATCGTAGGTGGAGGCGTGTTTGGATTGACGATGTAGCCGGAGGTACCGGCGAAGGCGACCCACTCGCAGCCGGGCGCGAGGGCACCCACGTCGTTCACGAGCTTTGAGTGCCCAAAAGCGACAAAGGCGCTC